TTTGATGGTCTTTCGAATGAGATTCCATCGAGTAATCGGCAGTTAAATTGATTTGTGTTTTCGGATCCAACGAGGTGAAGTGTCGAGCAATCTGCAACGATGTGAAACATCTCACCTATGAGGATCTGGCTAACGAATGCCGTATCCGTTCCCTCTGGAACGAGCTCGGTCGATCGAATATGCCGAGTAGGGTCGGCAAGTCGTGCACATGAGATCACGACGGAGCTCCATAAAAAGCCGGCCTGGAGGGCTGCTTTAGTCAGTAGCCGGTGAACGTCCAGGGATGACTTACTTGGAGGATGGCTTCTCTCAGGTCGACGAGAATTTCCGTCTGTTTGATGTTTTTCGTTCGAACGCTCTCTTCCTTCTGATCGTCAGCCATGTCGCCTCCAAGAATGACCTGAATGACGGTCTTGTGATTCCGGAAAGCGGACATTCCCGAGAAAACCCCCAAAAAGCGGTCAAAGAAGGATGTGTCCGCTCATATCGCAACTCTAATCATGGCACATGTCTTGAAACGAGCATCGGAGATCGACGGAGACCATCCCGTAAATCTCCGAGTAGTGACCCAGTCTTCCCTATCTTCAAATGCTACCGGTTGGGGCTTCTATTGGAGAGTGGCTCACAATATTTCAAGGAACGCGTCGGAAAAATTGATCAGTGATTATGGAAGTCTGGGGGAATGTGTGTTCTCGATATAGAGCTTGGCAATCAATGCACGTTAGCGACCGTCCCGGAAGGACTCCTTCAGGCGAAGATACTTGGGCGCCGATGTTCCGACGTCGGGCACGTCAGCTTCGCCTCTTAGCCGACTTTGAAATCCGGGAGCTTCTTCTGGAGGGGGCTTTCGTTTTCCCAGGAGCTCTGGCAAGGAGGCTTCTATTGGACAGCTTCTACTATGGAAGAGGGCCGCTCTCGGGAAATTCACGGTAAAATGCTTTGAGCCGCAGCGAAGCGCGGCAGGGTACGCTAGTCTCACATAAAATTTCGGGAAGCTTGATCCATGAGGCTAGACCCCCCGCATTCCAGCTCGATGAGCGCAGACACGCTCTTCATCGAAGATCATTATGCTCCTTCTCAACAGGGAAGGTGCGGACAGATCTCCGAGCCGATAGTGCCGATTGTGATTATCACGAGCAGGGAACGATCTCAAAACTTTCAGATCCTGTGGGAGGGGTTCGTGTTCCAGGATGTCGAATATGTTGCGCGTAATGTTCGGCTGCGACAACAGATTGCCTCCTTCGGCCGTAGGTTAGGCCAAGGCTTGATTGACCATCAGACCATCACTAATCCATAAGAGCCTAACGAGTTTTCACCGAATACCTCGCTCCGATGCGAGAAGCTTCGATTTCTGGAATTACGGACTCTGTAGATTCTCC